TTTTGATAACAGCATGTTCTGACAATTGCTTTTATGTCTTGTTGCTTACCAACAAAAGTATAATATTGTTGTTAGTCTATGTACTGAAAGTATAAAATGAAATGTGTAGACAACAAAACTGGAAAAATGTTTGTTAATTTCTTAATTTAGAGTCCCCATTGATTAAAAATTTTTGTGATATAACAGAAAATAGTTTAATTCAGAAATAATTTAAGTTTAAAACTGAAGCGATATTTTAACTTTTATGATAAATTTTGTGCACTTGGATCTAGGCCAGGTGATCCCAACTTACTAAACTTATAAGGTTTCACAGCCCCCTTGTACCCCCTTCACTAAAATCATAATGGGCAAACAGTAATTGAACTATTCTATATGGATAAATGCATTTTGGCTTTTATGACTCCTCCTATTTTGAGAAATCAAGAAAAGTCAAGTGTGATGTGACACACACTGGCTTTTATATAGGTTAGATTGGTGTTAATTTTCAAGTGAACGACTTTTGTGAAACAATGCTAAATAGAATACACATTTGGCCTGTTTTTTAATTCTAGTAAGTTATTGTTTTAGGCATCTGTTGACTAGATATCTTTTTTCCCATTTTCAGTGGTTTGTGTTTGTACTTTAGAAGACAATAACAACATCTCTGAATTAAGTGCTTCTTAGAATATAAGTGTCATGAGTAATGTTTATAATATTGTGTTTTGTATATACATATAAAAAACAACAATAATAGTCTTTATAAGGATATTTAGTCCTTGTGAACATTGCTATCATAACTGAAGTATAGTAGTATTTCTTTATGTTATAACTCAGTTGAACTAATTTCATGCTGTTAGAACTGAGAGTTGAAGTGTAATGATAATTAATTATGTGGTAACTCAGTTTTACATTCCTTTTGTTAGATCTGAAGTGTAGTTAAAATTCCTTATGCTATTACTTACTTTGTGAGATAGTCATACAATTAAAATGAAAATATAGTACTTATTCGTTATTTTGTAACTTAGTTCCTACTATTACACTGTAGGTATGAAATTTAGAGGAAGTATATTTGTATTTTAACTTAGTGTGCTAAGCTTACTGAAGCATAATTTATATTCTTTATGTTATGACTTAATAACTCAATTAAGCCCATATGTCTGGTGTAGTCAATATTCTTAATGTTGTAACCTAGTTTGGCTCACATTTCTGTTAGAATTGAAAAGTAGTTATTATTCCTTATAATTAATAACCAAAGTGTGGTGATTATTCTATAATTTAGTTGGGCTGGTATTTCTTCTGTTAAAACCAAACTATTGTGGATATTCCTTACGTTCTAATACGGTTGAGTTGGTATTTTTGCTGTTAGAATTAAAGCACATTCTTTATGTTGTAACTTAGTTGATTGTTGAAACTGAAATGTAGTTGATATTTTTTATGTTATAAATTTATTGGACTAACAATCTTGCTTTTAGATATGAACTGCGATGAGTGTTCATATTATTACTTAGTTGAGCTGGTATTCCTTCTGGTTGAACAAAGCTTAGTGCATATTCACTATTTTGTGACTTAGGTGGTGCAAGTATTATTACCGTTTTTGGCTAAATCACGATGGACTGATTCAGATATTCCTTTTTTAATTGGTGAAGATTACTAGAAATTCTTTATGTTGTAACTTAAGTGATGCATGTATTTCTGCTGTCACAATTGTAGTACATATTCTTGGTTCTATAGCTTAATTGGTGCAGATATTCACATTCATAAAACTAAAGTGTACTGAGATCTGGAAATATTTTTGTTTCATGTAAACAGTTACATTTTAACTTTCTCTGCTTATTTATCAAAATAGGGACCAAACAGCTGCAGTTACAGGTCGACTTTCATCTGCTAACCCTGTGAGTATGTCAGTTGGTATTATACTCCTTTAGTAGATATTTGTTTTTTTTGTCATTTTGTTAAATAACCAAATATCTATGTTTTTGCATCAAATACTAACAATTTTGCTTGTCCTTAGGTAAAATCCCAGTAGATTAATTAGATCTATGTTGTGGATATATTTATAATCAATTTTTAACTATACGCACTGGTTGTGTATGATATTTCAAAATACTTATTTATCTTGCCAACAAAAACTTAAAAGTGTGTAAGTGAAGTAGTTCAAATTTGACAGCTAGCTATAAAAACCTGAAAACTTAATTATGATTCTTGAAAAAGTAACTTTTGCTTGATGTACTATTATAAATAGGAAACAGTGGTATTAGATAACATTCCAGTATTGCTTAATGACAATAGTCTGAAAATTATAAGTCATTATTTATTTTTAGAAAGCATATTTTAAATTATAAACACTTACTGCTATAATTTATTTCTTTTGAAAGAACCTTCAAGCAATTCCAAAGCTCCCAGTTTGCTTAACTAAATCAGAAAATCAAAGTGGAACAGCTAAAAGTATGTACAATAATGATAATAATTGATTAAGACATTGTGTATTAGCCAGAAAGGTTTATAGTTTTATTGTAACATTTGATTCTTTTTAAAAACGATTTACAACAAATCTATAAAGTATTTCATGTTCTTTTATAATTCATATTCTTGCTATTTTTGTCAAATAAATTGTTTTTTTACTTCACTTGTTTTTGTAATGCAAATGATACTAAATTAGTTTTGCTTTTATCAGAGTTTTGCTTATTTTACTAAAATCTGACAATGTAAAATAAATCTAAAGATAGTATATTAAATAGTTGTGTAATATTGTGAAAATATTGTAATATTTTTAGAACTTGCTATTTTCAGGGCCAGAGCAGAAAGTTCTTAGAATCAGAGATCCATTCATAAGTCAAGAAGGATGGTCACTTCTTGCTGCAGGTATGTTGGATTGAGTTTTTATTCCCTGTTTAACAATGGAGAGGAGGAGATAGCTATGGTACTCTCAGAGACAGGGGTATAACCAGCCTCTTTCCAGTGAGAGAGATGAGATGGCTTATACAAAACATTGAGGGGGGCTACACTTTACATCTTGTGGGCACACTTGCTGTAGTTTTCTGGAAGTGAATCAGCTTTAACTCTCTCAAAATGGGCTTGATCAATTTGATCGATCATGTGACCTCTTTGTACTGTATTAAAGTCTTTATAGATCTAATACTTCTAACTTTCAATATAGTATGTATATCTTAACAAAATTTGGCAGTCTTTCAGTTCATATTATAAGTCTTTCACATACAAAAAATTGTATTTTTAGTGAAGTATTTTTAATAAAATAAAATTAAGATTTGTCCATTAATATATTGAGTATTTTTTTAATAGTCTGTGTGCAAAATAATTTTCATGTCAAAACTAAAAATACATTTCCTAATCTCAAAAATCTCTAATTTTCTTTGTGTAATCCCTAAAACCTCCTAAATGCATTTCAAATGTTTGTTTTCAATAAAACTTTATAGTTTATCTGTTATTTTCTCTACCCTATCTCAAAATAGGATCGGCCAATTCGAGCAACCTCATAATAACCAAAAATAAATCTAAATTACACTTTTTTTTTTACTAGAATGACTTCAGATAGTAACATGAAACTACATTCGTTTATCCTAAGTAGCTCTAAGTTCCTAACAATATACATCTATTTATAATTAAATTTTATTGTTGTATTGCCCTTTAAACTGTGTCTAACTACTATCCGCACCATTATAAGTTATAAATCACTCGGAGAACATGCAGGTCACGTTACACTATTGAATCACATTACCCACAAGCTGCTCACATGTGTGACTCATAAACCAATTTAATTATTTTATTATTGTTACTTATTTTACCTAATCTAGTCTTAAATAACTTAAAAAGATCCATATATTTAGATTTTAGTTACTTTTAAAATAATAAATATAGAATAAATATGAAAAATATTAAATAAACTAATTACCCAATCTTCTTTTTCTTGCTGTTGGGTTTCGAAGAGAGTTAACCCTCATTTTTTATATTATAGATAGTAATGTACTTAATAATTTTTATT